TAAATATGGTGTCTGCCATATATCGTGTGGTTGTTTAAGATATGAGTTGAAGGGGATTGCATCACACGTTGGAATGGCCCACTCTTTTGGCCTTTACAAGCTCATACTTTTCATCCCCTTATTGTTTTTTTTATTTCTTTAAAATTAAAACCAGGGGCTCCATGTAAGCTTATAAATAATGCCCCACATCAGCATCTAACAAACGATGCAAACCCACGATTGACCATCTCCTAATAGGGTGGGTTTGCCAATGAATTTAAAGATACTAAATTTAAAGCATGTGATTAAGAGAAGTATATATATATATATATATATATATGGGTGATTCTTATACGAATTTGATTGATTTAAGTATGTTTTTTTTTTTCCTTTAGTCTACTTTAATCATGGTATCATGAGGGTTCGAACTGAGACCACTAATCTACAAGTCAATGTTTTTTCTAATAGATTAAACCTTGTTGGCTTAAACTTCTTTTTTTTGATATGATCATTATCACATTAGTAAACTTACTTTTGGTGGTTAATATATATTCCATTTGAAACCTAGTTAAGAAGGAACATGTCTTAATTTGGGAACTAGAATGAGTTGATGGGGTGGTCCAAATCCAACTTTTTTGGCCGCAAAAAGTAAAAAACATTACTTCTATTTGAAGATACAAGGGTAATTTCCGTGATGCGACTAGCACGCATTAATTGGCAATAAGATTTTGAAACTTGTCCAGCTATTTACCCATTTCTGTACTCCATTCCACATATCTTCCCCAAGTATTCAGTTTGCCTTTTTCAAAGTCAACACACCCTGATCATACAAAATGTCTACATGTCAAATTTTAATATTATCCCTCACGAAAATTTATTTTTTCTGATCGTGACATAGAAGATCTCTCATGATTTAAATATTTTCTAGTGGTTAGTAGAAAAGGGCCTAAACCTAACTTTTATTTAAATATGTAAATTAAGCAATATTTATAAAGATATTGGTGTGAAATAAATAGGGCATGCGTATGCATTCGTTGTCCTCCTTAGCAAAATACTTTTATATTTCATTTAAATACATTTTATTTTTTATTCCTCTTATTTTGATAAACGACGATGACGCGACGATAGATTTTAATAAATGACATCGTGTCGAGAGATATAGATAAAACAGAGTAATGATACTTCATCTTATCTTGACCTTGTCTTGTTTACCAAAAATCCACGCTTGCTTGTTTGAAACTTGTGAACAAATCGCAAATCGAAACGAAGCAATGGAAATGAAATGAAGCGTCGTGGACCAAAGAAATTAAGATGAATTGCTGCTTTTTGATATTGGAAGAGTGTGGCGCTCGTGGTCGCCATGCTGGAGGTCAAATCTGAAAAGCCATATCCTCCCATATATAACAAGTCGTCATGCTCAGCGTCAGCATTTCAGACTTGAGAGGTAGCTGAAATGATCATCCACTACCTCTTTAAAATTAAATGTGGAATTAATAATGCACCAAATCTTAAATCCATTTGCCAGAGGGAGGACCCAGAGAGAGGAGAAAGACACTTCGATTGTCTCCCTCCAATGTGTCTCAAAATAAATAAAAGTTTTCAGTACAAGTTGATGCTGCAGAGCCGGCAAAAACTGCTATGGATGGCAGGGCTGAGCGAAGCCAAGGGTGCAATTCAATTGGCAAAGCTTCCTTCCATATCAATTCTCTCTCTTTTTATTCATTCATTGCATGCTGAATTTATTTATTTGAGGTGCAATTTAAAATAAAAATTAAACTACCATTTCTTTATATTATTTGAGGTGTTTCCTTGGGTCCCATATCATGGCTACTTGTTCATCAGCTCAAAGAGACAAACGCTGATTATCCAAATGCTGACTAATGGCATCAATTTTCCACATTATCGACTTGTGTCTTTCACATGTGGATCCATAATAATGGCTAGCTATGAATGATTTGCCCACATAATATTCTGTATTTGTGATGAGAGCCGGTCTTAAGATTTTAAGGGCGAAATTTAAAAGGGAACGTTTCATTTAATAGGAAGAAGGCATGAACTTTTTTTGTTTCCTCTTGAGTGGGTGAAACTATACACTCCAATTATATTTTTTTTGATTGGAGAAAGCTTGTATATACTATATATTGCTTTCCTCTTATTTGACGTGCTTCCTTTTTTTTTTTCTCTTTTTTTTTAATAATTAAAAAAAAGTAGAAATGTACAAATACAACTACTGAATGTCACAATATAGACTTGAACTCAACTTGCTTACTAAAATCAAGGGGACGAATTCCAACTCAACAAAATACACACTTGTATTACTTTATTGCATGTTCAAGTATATATATAATACCTATAATATTAATAAACATAATATACACGTAATTTTTTATGGGGCCCTTCAAAATTAGAAGTCTTGTGCGGCGACACCACTTGCACACCCTCAATGCCTCCCCTAGATGAGAGATAAACATCTATGCAGAAAACTATTTGATTAAAGATCTGTTTAGTTTGTGGAACGAACTTTTCAAACATGTAAATGCAAGTTCATATCTATTCATAAACTTCTAAATCTGAAACCAAACGGACCTGATAGTTTCGGCCCACTGAATCACACTGTTTTTTCTTTCAAATCACAAAAAAGAAGATCCTATACTTGTCCTGTCATACTTTACTTTAATTTGACAGCTACTATAATAATATTATACATATTGAATCATAATTAAGTGAATAAAAAAATTACAGAAACTTGTGCTAGATTGAGGGATGGACGGAGGGTAAAATCCTGAATGATTTGACGGGTAATTTAAAACCCAACCCACTCAGAACTTCGACGTTTTGTATATATGTAGAAAAAAACAAAAGAAAAAAAAGCTTGGGACAAATAACTATCTGATACAAAATGATGAAAGGAACACTTATTTTTAAACATAGGTTTGCTGCCGACCCTTTATTTAAGTATGAACCAAAGCGTTTGCTTATTAGGAGGAAAGATAAAAAGTAAAGAAAAGCAAGCATACATGGTTGGAGTGGGGGGCCCAGAAATCGTGTAGATTATTACTAACAGTGGACAACAAAATGAGGTCACCCTCTTCTTCGCTATCTTGCCTGCCTTGGTGTGTTATTAGAAAAGCCATGACGACACCCATCTCTCCCCTCCGCTCACATATATATCATTTAACAGTAGTGCTGGTGCCAACGGGTTTAGTTCAATAAAAACGGGCTTTGACTTGCATACCGACGATTTCATATTTGAATTTGCATGACACTTTAATAGTGCGTATAAGAAACTCCCTTTCTTTGTATTAGACTATCATTTGTATTTTAAAAAGAAAAGAGAAAAAAAAACAACAGTGTTGGGTGTGACAAGTTGACACTATTGGTGGAGGGGAAGGGAGGGCTCGTCTTCTTAACCAGTAAAATACGTAATGCTTGGTTGGTTTTGCTTGGTATTGTTGTTAATGATGATGCTAACAATCACTATTAGCGGTATATAATTCATTCAATTAGTAAAGAAATATAAATTATATTTAATAGAGTAAATAATAAATAAGTAATCCCAAGGTTAGAACTTGGAAAGCTGCAAGTTTCATACGTCATCCTTCTTAAACTTAGTCCTTATGCGCACGTGATCGGTGTTGTTTTTGGTCATTGTTTATATTATCTCGTCTCCTTCGGATTTTTCTTCACACAAGTCTAAAGTCTTCAACCATCTGTCGTCATTCCTTCATTTTCACAGCACATCGCCTTATTCTCATGTAATAAACTATTTGTAATATTATTATTAATATATAATGTGTTGGAATTCAGCACGGATGAATTCAAAACCGTTAATATTTAGTCAATCTACTACGAGATTGAATTGTGAATTTTTCAATCCAATTCACTCCAATTCAATCCGCAAAACAAAAGAATAAATTAATACGTGATATCATATCGGTTTCGGAACTTAGAGATCCAACTCAATACTCCACACAAAATCATCATTTTTTTCAGACCACACCTTCATCATCGAAACCAATTAAAATAAGATTGGGTCGAGTCAAAATTATTGTAGAGCACACCCAAAGCCCAAACCTTTTGTGCTTATGAAAGCCCAATTCTCAAAACGCTTAAAAATTGATGTTATCAGTGATGAACCCAATACGGCAGCCCACTAATTCAAATAGACAGAATGGCGGGCCCACATATCACATAATAGTTCCCTTCCTGTCTTGGGCGAGACTGAGAGTGACGGAACGAAACTTCGTTCCGTTGCTTTTTATGTGGGTTCCTTTTTCCCATTTTGTTTTTCATGTATTTATTGGAATCAATAATGGTCAACGAAAGCATATTCCAATATCCAAAACCAACTTTCTGGTTTGTTCCATTTAGAGAACAAAAGACGTCTCCTCATGTATTCAATTTTTTTTTGGGAGTCTTACTATTATATCCAATATAGGAATTCAAATTATAAAAAAATTTCAAAATGAAATGGACTTTAGGAACACACCCAAAGTTTATTTACAACATAACAAAAAGACTTTTAATTTCTTTTAAATTACAAAATTACCATTGATTTCTTGAAACAAACTCAACTCCAAAACCTCATAAAAAAAAAGCCTAAAACACTCAATAGGACATCAAAGTAATTTAATAATTAAAATTAAATTCAATAGCAGCTGTCATTTTTTGGATTTGTTTATAGAAATTAAATGATGTAAGATTTATCTATTTATTAATGTTAAAAATGAGTATATGACTATTTTTTTTTTCTTGTGATAACTAATGCAGATGTGGACTCTCTTGTTGGTTTATGCATAAAATAAAAAAAATTCTCAAATTTGTTGATTTAAAACTTAAAAAATTATTAGTTGATATATTTTTTGTTGTTGAACATATTAATAAATAATTGATTTTGAGCAAAATTGAGCACAAATAAAAAGTGGTATATCAGCTATTGGGCTCATGTTCTTCATATGGCCCAAAACGTTGAGAAGGTTCTTGAGCTTTGAGGTGTTTGCAATTTGTTGTGCGATCTTATTACATTGACAAGTGGAAGAAACTTCTGACAAATTTGAGAGACACCGTCCGCTCATCTCTCTAGAACTTTCCTTTCCACCGCCTTAAATATACATCTTCTCTCTCCTCCGCATGACAAACAACACTCCCCGGAAGATCTCAAAGCTCTCAAATTTCACTCAAAGCTCAAATTGATCAACTAAATTCCGTTAAATTGCATCCAATTCCAAAACCCAATTCTTGTAACTCTCTTGGGAATGTAAAAAATCCTCACTTGAAAGTGAGAGCACGAATTGGGGGTGCGTGAGAAACAGAGCAATACCATGGATGGAGTGGTGGTGAAAGAGGAAGAGATTGTGACATGCACTGTTGGTTCATCATCCTCTTCTTCTTCAAGCTTCTCACCTCAGCCAATAGAGGGCTTACACGAAGTGGGCCCTCCCCCTTTTCTCACAAAGACCTTTGAAATGGTGGAGGATCCTTCTACAGACGCCATTGTCTCCTGGAGCAGAGCTCGCAACAGTTTCGTTGTTTGGGACTCTCATAAGTTCTCCACCACTCTTCTTCCTCGCTACTTCAAGCACGGAAACTTCTCCAGCTTCATTCGTCAGCTTAATACATATGTAAGTGATTCTCAAAAAACATGAACTTTATTGCATCGTCTTCATATTGAATGCAGAATTCTACATGGGTTCTTTTCTTTTTTGCAGTTCCCTTTTAGTTTCTGGGCTGACATGAAAAAATTGAGAAATCAACTAATAATAAAGTTGGTTGCTTGCTAATTACTGTAACATTTTTGGTTCAGTGTAAGAATTTCAATTATTGATTGTCATGCTTTTTTTATTCTTTCTGCAACTCTGTTAACTAGTTTCGATGCTCTCTTTGAATTTCTTATAAAAGTAATTCCCTTTCTTCTGATGGTCATGAATCATGATTTGATTTCATTGCTCCTCAGTCGGGTTTGCTAATTACATACTTGTTTAGTAAATTTCAATGCTTGCTCATCAACAGATTGCATGCAGGGTTTTAGAAAGGTTGATCCTGACCGATGGGAATTTGCAAACGAAGGGTTTCTGGGAGGGCAGAGGCATTTACTGAAGACCATCAAGAGGAGGAGGCATGTGTCACAGAGTATGCAACAAGAAGGTGGAGGAGGAGCTTGTGTTGAACTGGGCCAGTATGGACTGGAGACTGAGCTTGAAAGATTGAAGAGAGACCGAAATGTTTTAATGACTGAAATAATGAGGCTGAGGCAGCAACAACAAAATTCAAAGGAACAAGTCATGGCAATGGAGGGTCGGTTGCAGACCACAGAGAAAAAACAACAGCAGATTATGGCTTTCCTTGCCAAAGCACTCAATAGCCCATCTTTTATCCAAAACCTTGTTGAGAAGAAGGCTCGGAATAAAGAGTTGCGTGGTATGGAAATTGGTCGAAAGCGGAGACTAGCAGCTAGCCCCAGTGTGGAGAATCTGCAAGAAAAACCTAAAACCCATGTTGTGGACTACTCAGCAAGCCAAGATCAGGGAGAGTTGGAAACTATGGAATCGCAGATTGAGACCTTTTTCTCAGCTGCTGCATTGGATAATGAATCAAGCAGTGATATCGTAGACCCTCATTCAAGTTCAGTTGGTGGCAACTTAGGCATTGTTAATGAGACTACATGGGAGGAGCTGTGGAGCGATGAGCTCATTGGTGGCAATCCGGAGGAAGACGTTATTGTGGTGGGTGATGAATCAGATATTGATGTCGCGGTGGAGGATTTGGTTGCAGAGCCAGCAGATTGGGGTGAGGACTTGCAAGAACTTGTTGATCAAATGGGTTATCTAATCAGGTCCAAGCCTTGATGATAAGAAAATGTCTGTGATGGTGAAGTGGTTGTGTGCTGAGTTGGTCCCTGCAACCCCATTCCTATCTTTAATCCAGATATTGGTATATGATTTAAGAACTTCGGTTCCATTAATTATTTGTATGTGTGTGTTATTTGTTTTGTGAGTGAAAATAATATATGATTTGTGATGCAGCATGGGGGATGGTCAAAGTTGCAAAGGGGCCAACGATGTAGTAGCTGTTTTTTTCAGTATCCTTTAATAATTATTCATATCTAGTGTGTTAAATATTTTATTGGCACTTTCAAAGTTGTTTCAATGGTTTTCATTTGCTGTTTCTTCTTTGATGCTTTCCAGGCGGACCGGCCAACGGAGACCTTTGAGGGGTTCTGTTCCTTGAACTTATACTTCTGATATAGCTTCAGATTGCTGTAGTCAGTGTACATTTGTTCATTCAAGTATGTATATTTAGCACTTATCTGTTAAGTCAGTTATCTCGTATGCTACTATTGGAGACCTGGAGTGCATGAAGTCAGTTTCTCTACAAAAGATGAGAAAGTGGTTGTTGGTGTTCAAATGCCTTTCATTGAGTGCTGCAGATCCACTGCGTTAAGAATTTCTGCTTGCAAATGTTGAAGAAACTTCTCACTACCTGAAATTATGTAAATATAAAAACAGTTGATTGTACATGTCTTGTTCAGGGCTGCTGTGTAGCTAGCTGTTCTTTTAGCTTAAACTGTCACTCTTCCTGTGATGCAATAGAACTCCTTATTTGTCAATAAAGTCAACTTTTATTTTGTAATCCATAAATCTATTTCCATGCAATGCAGATACAGATACAGATTTACTTGAAAACATGGGTTTGCAGAGGAGGCTAAAACCCTGGTGTTTTTTTGTTTAAGAACACCTTCCACAACATTAAGTCAAGATGTTATGGTGGTAACTGAGGGCTATTGGTTTGCATTTCGTTGACACACAACAGCTTTCCAGCTTGTGACGGTTCTTTTCGACCATGGGATAAGTAATGAGAGGTGGGCCCGAAGTGCGGATTCTTTTCCTTTTTTTTTCTGGTCTAGGAAGTGCGGATTCTTAACTCAAATCTAATGGCCTAGCTCTTTTTTATTTATATATCTTGGGCTTGATGGGGACCAAACATAACAGAAGAAAATTAACGCAAGGGTTGGATAGAAGAAGATATATTTTTCTTCTCATGGAGTTTTGACCGGATAGAAAAATCTAGAGAGAGAGAGAGAGAGATTCATAGTCACTATCCTTGTGTATAATGTAATATGCATGGAGGATAAAACATATTCCTAGGCGACGTGCACTGTATAGGCACATGAAGACAAGTAGATAGAAACGAGTCTCAACATTGCAAAGAAACAGATTCTCATCCGTCAAGACAAATGAGTTAAAACAAGCAAATAATGAGCCACGTGAAATTGCCAGTTGACATAAAAATGGTACAAACAAGGCTACAGAGGAGACAGAGGAATTGAAGACTGCTTCCTACTTATTTTCTATGAGATCGATCGTGGAATTAATCTCTAGCTTTCTTGCATTTGGAACCAACCATCACTGGCAATGATCTGTTAAATTAACCCGAAACTGAAAATTTGGTGTCAAAATTATGAATGATTTCAACAACGTTACAGTGAAGAATATGTTTTACCATATAACTTTTCGTACAACCAAGCTCCAGTTGTCTTGTTTCGTGTTTGATGAGTAGTACGGTTGGCATCAGGCATGTTGAAGTAAAGTTCGCTTTATGACTCTGAGCTTGACACCATTCTTGAAGTTGAGAACAATGCCATACTCAAGTTGTAGAGGTTTCTCCATTCCGGGAGAGTGCCGGAACACATAGTTCCGGTATAAGTGAATGAGCGAGAGCTTTAGTTCTTGCAGGGAAAACTTATAACCAATGCAGGATCGAGGTCCGATCCCGAAGGGTATAAAAGCATAAGGATGCCTTTGTTTCACTTCTTTGCAGCTGGGATCAAACCTCTCTGGCCTGAACTTGTCCGGCTCTGGGAAGTTCTTTGGATCTTTTGCTAAAACTCCAAGTGCTAACCAAACCCAAGTCCCCTGCTCCTCTCACAAACAAAAATGAACTACTCCCATAAGACAATTCATATACAAACCATTTCCAGTGTCCACAGAGGAAAAGTAGTTGTGCATAGAGATGTTACTAATTTGTGTAAGTAGAACAATACCTTCGGTAGAAGATAACCTCCTATTTCGACTTGTCTAGATGTTTCTCTTGCAACTAATGGGGAAACCATGTAAAACCGCATTGCTTCTTTGATAACCTGCATTCAAACAGCCAATAGATAAATCAAACTCCATTTTCATGTGAGTACATAGAGGCATTTTGCTATTTGAACATTTGTTGGACTTTCAGAAGACTTGCCTGATCAATATAAGGAAATTTGTGTTGAAGATCCTGAGCAGTAGGCATCTGATCAGGAGGTCCAAATCCATCAATCTCTGCAAGCAACTTTTCTTCAACTTCCGGGTGTCCAGCAACCAAGTAAACAATTGAAGACAATGTAAATGCTGTTGTGGCTGACCCAGCAAGGAGATGCTCATAAGTAACAGCACTAATGTAGTCTGGGGTGAAGACATTCTTTGAAACTGTCTCTGACTCCCTTGCATTCATTATGAGTGACAAGAAGTCCTTTGAACCTCTGTCCCTGTCTCTCATTTTCTTCCCTACAATCTCATCAAGCCGGCCGCTTAATTTCCGGTTCGTACGTTCAACTTTCCAGTCCATAGTGCCAGGAATTCTCTTCAAGATTTGCCTGAATGGCTCCTGTAGAATAGGTACAAGTAGTCCCAGTATGATTGATAAGGAGCCTGATAAGTCCATCTTAAGCTGTGTTGTGGAATATATGTGTTGGTTGATAAAGTCTGAGACTTCATCATTGTTAATGTCTTGGGAACCACCAATCTGCTTGTTGATTGAATCACTGATGGATTGTGGTTTAGAAAGGCCAAAGTTGACACCAAAGGCAGCTTGTCCTATCACATCTGTGGTCAATCTGAGGGAGAGATTGGAAAAGGTAATATCTTCTCCTTTGGAGGAGCCAAGTTTTTCAGTTGCAGATTCAATGAAGGACTGCATGGTAGGCACAAGGCTGGCTAGGTGTGATGGTTGATACACTGATAATATAGTGTTTCGCATGGCAGACCATCTTGCATCCCTGCAGGATGCTCAAATTCCATCAGATCACTCAATAAATTTATAATAACTTCAACTGATATTTTACACTTTCATAATAATACAATTACGAATTTACGGTACCTGGTGAAAAAGAGACCTTTCTGATGAAGAGGGGAAGCTGAGATGGGAGATGGGATGCTTCTGTTTTGAATGTCTTTGAACTTCTTAATTCCAACTTCTCTACAAAGCTCTGCATCTGCTACAATTATAAGTGGCTGCCTGCCCATATGAAACCTGCCCAAAATATGTAATCAAACAAAATAAACGTGATTTCGACCCAAAAAAAATAGAAGGTGATGACATGAGACATTGAGTTTGTTATGTGATTAGCACCCTCCAACCCTCCTAAAAAAAAAAAGGGAAAAGAAAAATAAAAAAGGGAAGAGTATATTTTTCCACAATCTATCAGCTTTGTAGCCAAGACCATGAAAAAGAAATGTCACAAAACAGAACAGATGCTACCTTTGCTGATTATTCAGTTTAACTTAGCATTTGACCTTAAGACCATGAATTTGAAAAGAAACCTTCTTGGGCTGAAGCCACGTGGTAAAGGAAAGTGGGTTAGTCAATTTGGCAGGGCAGATTCAGCCTGCCCTTCATGTGGAAATGTTACTTATGGCGAATTTCTAACCCACAATGCAGCAGTGGGAGGGAAGTGTCAGCTTGTTCCTTGTAAGTTGTATCTAACCTACACATATTTCTGAGATAAGCATAATCTTTGTGCTTTATGAGGGTAGTCTAAGTAAGTCTCAGATGATTTAACTGAGGAAAATTATAGATAAAACTCATTTGAGAACAAGGAAAAAAGAAGAAGGATGAAAGTTCATTTGAGTAAAATTGTTTGTCTTTTTTCTCATCCAATTAGAAAGCCTAAATATTTGGTCCCCAAAAAAGTAGGTTTGCTCAACTTGCTACATACACAAATTAATAAACTAACCTGAAAATAGGGCCATACTGTTTGGCAAGAACTGAGAATACATCAGGACCATACTTTGCCAGCAAGGGAAGGTGCCCAACGAAGGGGATAGTTGGTGGGCTAGGTACCCTCCTCACCCCCCAGTAGGGCCCATACAAGTACCCCAAAACTCCTGCCAGTATTGCCAACACTGTGAAGATAGTTGATAGCAGAGAAACATTGGTAAACAACAAGACTTCCAAAACACCCATTGTCTGAGAGACAGAGAGCTCTCTGTGTGTCTCTCTCTACTTGATACTTGATCAAAGAGCAAGGCTTTGGGGTGGTTTAATAGCTGGGGGTGGAATAAGTGGAGCTCTCACTAGTCACTGAGCAGCATCTGGATGCAGGGTACTTCGCTCCTTTGTCGCTTTTTAAATGATTTTACTCGTGAAAATTTGGGTGCCATTGGTCCATATATTGTACTTTTATCATATTATATATATACCGTAGCTGGTGACGAAATCATGGCGTTGTTTAAGCATTAGCATAGCATTCTTTCACCAAGTTCTCCAATCAGACAACACCACATTCGCTTCTTCTCGAGGTCAAAAAGATAAAAGCATGCGTGATGGAACAAAACGATCATCAAAGATCACGCCTGCTCTACAGAAAATTCTGTTGGGCACCAACCCAACTGTGCTTTTGGGGGCGTATTTCCTGCAAACCGATGGCTCTTCATCTAGTAAAGATTATGTTAGTGCCGCCACACCTAATGGTAGATAAGGAAGCAAAAGAGAGAGAGGAAACGTGGTCAAACATATGTTATTGTTCACGAGAAGAGAAGAGCTAGCTTTAGACATTAGTCGCTCCACGTAACGGGATAATGATGTTAACGTTTTATCCGAACTAATAAACAATCAAACTTGACACTTACAACTAAAGTTCTATCTTCTTTGTTAACCAAACAAATGAATTGAATATGAGATTTTTATGTGGGTAATATTCTATCTTTATGTGGCTGTTATCTACTTACCTTCTTTGACTACTTTGTCTTGGATGGATAGATGGGAATCTCTCTTTCTTTGCTATGCCACCACCACCAGTAAATGTTGAAATTCCTCTCTCTCTAATTGTGTCTTCACAGCTGAAGCATATAGGATTGGTAGTGCCTAAATTAATCATGTTCTTATATCAGGAATATGTTTTATCCTCCACACAGACAAGGATTTATTCTTTCAGCATACGTCTATCCCAACAAGGCATGCTGAAGACTAATGTTCAGTGCATGATCATGTCCGCTTTATGACTCTAAGCTTGACATCATGCTTGAAACTGAGAATAAAGCCATAGTCAAGTTGCAGAAGTTTCTCCATGTTAGGAGAGTGCCGGAAAACATATCTCCGGTATAAGTGAATCAGTGAGAGCTTTAGCTCTTGGAGGGCAAATTTCTGGCCGATGCATGCTCGAGGTTCGATGCCAAAGGGTAAAAAAGCATGAGGATGCCTTCGTTTCTCATCTTTGCAATTTCGATCAAACCTCTCTGGCTTGAACTTCTCTGGCTCTGGGAAGTTCGTTGG